GAGACAGGGTCTCACTGCGTTGCTTAAGGTCTAAGTTGTGATCCTCCTGCCTCAGCCTCCCATTTGTGATTCTCCTGCCTCAGCGTCCCGAGCCACAAGGATGACAGGCATAACCATGGCATCTGGCTGCTGGTGCCTGGTTTATGAAGTGTGTTCTGGGGTCAGATGGAAAAGCCACCCCTACAGTGTTTGCTAAGCACATTGCCTGTGGGGGGTAGGGAGACTAAAACTCATCCGCTGGACATGGAAACCCAGGGCTCAGGGAAGAATGGGATTAATATGTGTGGCTGGGGCTTAGGGACTGGATGCTACTGAGCTGAACAAGAGGGAGAGCCTGATTTCACAAGATGGATTTCYTTTGCGCTGGGAACACACTCTCTGGAATCCAGACACGCCAGGGCTCAGATCCTAGCTCTGCCATTGACAGGCTGTGAGAATCCAGGTGCAGATGGCACCGTGCGGGAGGTGGGGGTGGAGACACACCTCCCTCACTGGTTGCTGATGAGGATGTGATAACTACCCATTTAAAGGGGCCGGCCCAGGGCTTACTCCGTGGTAAACACTCTAAAGACTTATTATTATCATTCCTGACTTCCAGCATCATGTCTGTGGCCTCTCCTGGACACTGTTCATCTCTCAAGTCTGCTAAAGCTTCAGCCTCTGCACATAAACCCCTGCCCGCCCCCCCTCCCCCAGCTCGCACAGCCCGGTCCCCACAATTGTCCTGCCCCCTCTGACCTCTGGCAGCRCGGGTGCCTTATCTGGGCCCTCTGTTCCTGGCATCTCTGGACACCATCTCTCGGGGACCTGGGGTCTCCCCTGCTGGGCAGGGTAAGCTTCCCGAGGTAGGAACTGGGCTTTCTTTGCTCCTGTCCCCTGGGCTGTGTGCCTACCGCAGTGCCCCCCTCTCTGGAGAGACTCAGTGTATTTCAGGGAAAAGAAACGAACAAGAAAAAGTTCCCATAGACCACTGTGGGATCTCGGGAGGGGTCTGGAGGTGGACAGACAGGAGGCTCACACTTGCCAGAGGAGACCAGGGTGCCCTGGCCTGATGGCTGGAGGGCAGGGAGATGGAGAAGGTGACCTCTCTAGGCCTCATCCCTTCCCTGTGTTCTCATGAAYGTGGGCTCGTGGGGCCCTCTGTTTGGAAATCTTTTTCTTTTCTTTTTCTTTTTTTTTTTTGGTGATGGGGATTGAACTCAGGAGCACTTAACCCCTGAGCCCCACCCCAGCCCTATTCTGTATTTTATTTAGAGACAGGGTCTCTCTGAGTTGCATAGGGCCTCACTTCTGCTGAGGCTGGCTTTGGACTTGCGATCCTCCTGCCTCAGCCTCCCGAGCGGCTGGGATGACAGGCGGGTGCCACTGTGCGTGGCTTGGAAATCTTTAACACTTGGGACTTTGAAGCAGAAAGTTCCCTTTTAGATGGAAGTCTTGTCTACCCATTGTTCAGGGGGCAAGAGTGATGCTCAGAGAGGAACAGGGGCTCCCAGGGACCCTCAGCACATCCGATGGGGGTCAAGACCCTCTCCTGACAGGCTCACCCCTCTGAGGGGCTTCAGGCTTCCCTACGGTGCCTGCCCCCAGGCTGACCTGCATCCACACCAGCTCTGACCGCCCCCAGGAGCCCTTTAGTCCCCCTCTGACCCAGCCACGCCCCTTTCTCCATCACCAGCTTTTCGGAACCAATCACCCGACATGGAATCCTTCAAGTCGCTGGGTCCGCAGGGGAACAGCGCCCTGCTGGCCCGCTGGGCACCCCCTGGGAGTCCAGGGCGGGGCGTGGCCTCCCCAGGAGCCCTGGAGCCCTCTGCGCTCGGCCTGGGGCGGGGACGGGGAAGGTGCTTACGTCCCGCTGGAGACCCTCACGCTGCCCACGCGGTCACAGAGGCCGTAGACCCAGAGGCTGGGCACGTCGTCCTCCTGGATCTCCACGGTGTTGCCCTTGAAGTTGGCCCCTTCAAACAGGCTGATCTTGTGCTCTTGGGAGTCCTGCGGGGGAGAGGCTGGGTCGGCCACGCGCAGTGGGGAGGAGCCGAGGGGACTTTTAGTGGGGCCTCTGGCCCTGGAGAGGGAGGACCGAGTCTCCAGAGAGCACCGCTACCTGGCCTGGAAGGACCCGCCTTATCTGTGAAAAGGAGCCGTCGGCCCCTGTGACACTGGCTAACACCAGGGTGGCGTGAATCCATCCGTGCAAAGCCCTGAGCACGATTCTCGGCTTGCGCTCAATGCTCAAAAATGCATTTGTTATTTCTGTTATGGTGGCCGAGGGCTCAGAGGCCCAGAGAGGTCAACTTTCTTGATCAACGACACACAGCCAGTGAAGTGCAAAAGCTTTCGGAGAAATCTGCGTCCCTCCACGGTCAGGAGCTCAGTCAGATGCCCTTTGGTCAGCTGGTTCCTGCAATTACGAATTGACCCTGGAGTTGCGGAGGGGGGACACTAGGGGAACACAGGTCTGGGTTCAAATCCCACATCTGATATTTATGTGTTGAGGATCTTGGGCATTTTACCCAGCCCCTCGGAGCCCCCGTTAGTTCACCTGTAGAATGGACCTACAGTCCTCTCAGGCTGGGCTCAACTCAGGGCTCAGCAACAGCTGCCAGAGGCCAATCCCTGCGGTGGCCATGTGACTCGGGGCTCACTTCCACTACCTGTCAGTGTTTCCATGACCCTGGATCTTGTTTTTTTAAGCATACTTATTATTTCTTTTCTTTTCTTTTCTTTTCTTTTTTTTTGATACCAGGATTGAACCCAGGGCACGTAACCCCTGAGCCCCATCCCCAGCCCTTTTTATATTTTATTTAGAGACAGGGTCTCCCTGAGTTGCTCAGGGCCTCACTAACTTGCTGAGGCTGCCTTTGAACTCACGATCCTCCTGCCTCAGCCTCCAGAGCCACAGGGATGACAGGTGTGCACGGCGGCGCCCGCCTCATAGCGATTATTTCTGAGGGCAGCGATCACCCACCTTTTCAAAAGAGTTCTAGGCCCAAGGGATGAGCTGCTGCCCAGGTGGATGGGCAAGTGCAGCAGGAATAGCGCCCACCTCAAGGGCCTCTGATGTGGGCAGAGCCGAGTTTAAGTCCCAGCCTTGTCCCTGCCTGCTCTGTGGCCATAAGCCCTTCATTCTGAGCCTCTTTTTCCTTGGTTTTTGTTTTTTCAAACATGGTTCCTATGCGGCCTCTGCCCCTGAGGGCTGTTGTGGGGGCTCCATGAAAGGCAGGCAAAGCACCCAGCATTTAGTAGGTGCTCAGTAAACGGGTGCTGGGCTGATTCAGTATTATTGGCCATCATATAGAAGGTCAGGCCGCAGGAGCATCTCTCTATGAAAGACTCCATGGAAGACTGTAGATGAGGAAAGTCAGTTCCCTCTTCCAGAGGGCAGGAAGGGGCCAGGGAAGGCCTCACCCAAGGGGGACATTGGAGGGGGGCCTTGGCAGTTATATAAGAGTGTGAGGTGCAAAAGGAGGAGGCTGAGGCGGACGAGAAGCAGAGGGGAAGGTGGGAGGTGCGCATACGCCTGGTGGGCAAGTGCTCGTGGTGTGAGTGTGTGGTGTGAGGCAGGGATGGGACAGGGGCACCATGGAGCCATGGTGAGAAATGCCTGCAGTGATGTCACCAGCCCACGGTGGCCACCTAATGGTGACAGCCATTACCTGTCACTGCTACAGACCTGGGGGCCTAGGAAGGTGAAGCCAGCCCACGGCTCCCTGCTGCTGGTGAGCCCAAGAACAGACCCCTCAAGACCCGGCCCATCAGAGCCTGCAAGACGGTCCTCTGCTGGAGTCCCTCCATCTGCTGCCCCTCGACACCCCCTCTCTGCTGCAGCCACACGGGCAGCTCCTAATGTCCCGGCCACACCCAGTTCACCCCACTTGCACACAGTACCCCTGGAGGGATTTCACACTCGGTCCTCTCACGGCCGATGTGGTCCCAACCTTCAGGAGCYAGTTTCCCTGACCAGTCCCTGTCCCCAACATCAGAGCCCCAACTTCCCCCCTTCACCTTCCTGTGAGGCTGCGTGGCCTGGACAGCACCCGCCACGGTGCAGGACTACAGACTGATTAAGTTTCCGTCAGCCGCCTCTCTTTCTTCTCTTTCAGTACCAGGGATTGAACTCAGGGACACTGAACCACTGAGCCCCATCCCCAGCCCTGTTTTGCATTTTATTTAGAGACAGGGTCTCACTGAGTTGCTTAGGGCCTTGCTAAGTTGCTGAGGCTGGCTTTGAACTCGAGATCCTCCTGCCTCAGCCTCCCGAGCTGCTTGGATCATAGGCATGTGCCACTGCACCTGGCCACTAGCTGCCTATTGAGCATAGTGTGAACACCACAGGGACAAGGATCTTGATGTTGTGTCCCTGGGGCCTAGAACAGGACCTGGCCGAAGTAGGCCCACCCAGCCCCAGAGATTTGGAATTAATTGGTTTGGGTGGGTTTGAGCTGTTGAAGTTTAATTTTAATTTTATTTTTAGCCCGGCACAGTGGCGCACACCTGTGGTTTCAAGAGGCTGAGGCAGGAGGATTGCAAATTCAAAGCCAGCCTCAGCAACTTAGTGAGGTCTTTACAACTTATGGATACCCTGTCTATAAATAAAAGTTAAAAAAGGGCTGGGGATGTGGCTCAGAGATCAAGCACCTTTGTTCAATTCCTGGTACCAGAAATAATTTTGTAATACTATAATTTATGAAAACAAACATATCTACAAATATTGTAATCATAATAGGTGACCCATATAATATTAATGTGTCTTACACTCTTTAAAAAAAATGTTTTACCCTATCTTCAACCCCAGGTTTGTATGATCTCCTGACAGCACATCTCCATGCAGAGCGGCCAACATTGAGTTTTAACAGCACCAAATATCAGTCCAACTACGTCAGCCAGCAGACTTCTGGAAGTTTCTGGAAATGCCCTGACCCCTCTTCCAACAAGCCCCCTGGCATAGATGGTCCTATAAGGCCATTCAATGACGGGGAGACAAATCTAGGAATTCTTACAAAGAGTCCGTTAGGAAGGCTGATGATTCAGCCTCCAGGCTGAGAAGTCAGGGAGGCTGTGTTTGGGACTCGGGGAAGGTAAGTGTGGCGGTGCCCCACAGCGGCTCCCCGCACCTGGACAGCCGCCAACCACAGTCATGAAAATTCCTCATGAATTTTCCATCTCGAAAGACAAAAGTCGGTTACCTTTGGAGAGGGCTGCCCTCGGTGAGGCAGATGGGTGGTTTGGTGACTCACTGTCGACTCAGCGTTCTGCAAATACCACAGTCACGTGGGCCGGCTCCACTTACCGCCTCGAATCTTCTGTGTGCCGACTCCCACGGCAGGAGGCTGACTACCAGGAAGCCCGGTGGCCTTTCCACAGGCACCCCTTGTTAGCCACGGCACAACTGTCCACAGGCACGTGGGGGATGGCCCTGGGATTTAGAGCTGCCCAGGAGGGTGTAAGGTGGCATCAAGGATATGACAATGCCACCTCCAAAGATCAAGGGAGACACTGAAACCTTTATCTCTCACCTCTGGGAGGCTGATTCCAATCTCCACAGCATGGGACGAGGAAGGCACCTGCTTTTTGCAGGGTGGGGGGTACCAGGATTGAACCCAGCAGCACTCCACCACTGAGCCCCGTCCGCAGCCCTGTTCTGTGTTTTATTTAGGGACAGGGTCTCACTGAGCTGCTTAGGGCCTCACTGTGGCTGAGGCTGGCTTTGAACTCGCCATCCTCCTGCCTCAGCCTCCCGAGCTCTGGGATGACAGGCGTGCGTCACCGTGCCTGGCAAAACACCTGCTTTTGAGGTGGTGTTGGCTCGGGGTTCCTAGCACAAAGCCTGGTGCCCACAGTGAGTGCCCGGGTGCTGGACTCATGGATGAGCTCAGGAACCCACTGGTGTCTGACAACCCAGGGTCCTCAGGCTTCTCTGTCCACCATTCCTTCTCTCTTTCCCTTGCCAGGTCGCAGGAGGACCTCAGACTTGCCTCTGACCCACACCACTGAATCCCCAGCCCCTGTGCCGGAGCCCACTCACCATCCTGATGGGCCGGAAAGACATGAGCCGGTCACTCCGGTAGCTGCTGGACCAGGTGTCCCAGCGAGGGTACTCGCCCTTCTCCAGGATGAACATCTCCCCACGGAAGCTGGACTGCTCGAAGGCCACCCAGCTGGATGTGGGAAGGGCGGGGAGGGACACAGAAAAGGTCAGCTGATGCCCCTCCTGGCTGCCCTCCCTCTCCCCTGGCAAAGCAGCCCTGAGGCCAATAGGGACATCCCAGGGGCCTAAGGTGCCCGGAATTCATTCTAGGACACACCCCTTAGGCTCTGTGACGAGGAGCGGGTGGCTTTTCCTCCTCTACACTAAAATACCTATTTTTCAGGACTTGGTAAAGCTGAAATGAGATATCGAGTATAATTATCTGAGCAAACCTTTYGCAACTGTAAGGTTCACACACGCTTTGAGTGCTACAAGGACAGGGGCCCAATGACCCCAAAGAGAGATCTCATTAAAGCCAGGTAACAGCAAAGAGAAAGTCCCTCGTGCTAATGAGCCTTTAACAATCACCAGTCTCTCTTTTTGTAAGAAAGGAAAAACAGGTCACCTGCCCAGTCCTGAGCAGGCAAGGGGATCACAGTGACACTTTCCTGCTCCTTGTGATGTTTTTTTATGGATACTTTTAAACTTACTATAAATGATACTAGTTTTCCACTTATAAAAGGGCTTCAAAAGTCCTTCTAAAATATATCTATTTGTGTTCAACAAAACCATTTAAAATGAGACATATTCAATAGCTGATAGCCCCAGAGGCCCAGGACTAAGAGGAAAACTGATACGAGTTTCACAGAGACTGACCCGGCATCCCGGAGATGCCCAGGAGCTGGTATGGGGCCGTGGGAGAGGAGGGTGACGTGTGACATGCCATTTGTCCTTTACGAGGACTAATGAGGAATCTGAAGTCCAGTGGGGGCTTTCCCCATCTCTCTGCACATCCTGACTTAGGATGGGAGGTGAGTCTGTGTTGGAGGGGCCAAGGGTTCTGGGGAGAAGGCTAAGGGGCACTGGAGTTTTCTATGTGTTTTTAAGTGTTCAGGAGTTCCCAGGGACAAGGGAGGGCTGAGGGGCATGGCCACGGGCATCATCTCCCTGGGGGCTGCTAGTAATCCTGTCCCCAGAAGGATGGCAGTGATGATGTGTCATCTTGGACCAACCCTCAGGTCCTGATCTGAGGGGTGAACCAGTAAAACTGAAGGGAAAGAGTTGAAAATGTGGGCTTATGTTGGATCTGCCCTAGCTCTGGTCTGGAGTGGAAGGGAAATGGATGGATGGGTGGATGGATGATGGATAGGTGAAGGATGGGTGATGGGTGGGTGGATGATGGATGGATGGATGATGGATGGATAGATGGATGATGGATGGATGAAAAGATGATGGGTGGATGGATGATGGACGGTTGATGGATGGATGTATGAATGATGGATGAATGATGAATGGTGGATGATGGATGGATGGATGGATGATGGATGGATGGATAATGGATGGATAGATGGATGATGTATGGGTAGGTGGATAGATGGATAAATAGATAGATGGGTGGATGGATAGATGGATGGATGGGTGGATGGATAGATGGATGGGTGAATGGATGGGTGATGGATGAATGGATGATGAATGGATACATGGATGTATGGATGATGGATGGATGGATGGGTGGATGATGGATGGATAGATGGATGATGGATGGGTGGATGGATAGATGGATGGATGGGTGGATGGATGGATGATGGGTGGATGGATGGATGGATGATGGATGGATGTATGAATGGTGGATGATGGATGGATGGATGATAGATAGGTGATGGATGGATGATGGATGGGGGGATGGATAGATGGATGGATGGGTAGATGGATAAATAGATGGATGGACAGATGGACGGATGGATGGGTGGATGGATAGATGGATGGGTGAATGGATGGGTGGAGGGTGAATGGATGATGGATGGATGGGTGGGTGAATGGGTGGATGGATGGATGGATGAATGGATAGATAGATGATGGATGGGTGTATGGGTAGACAGATTGGATGGATGAACGCATGGATGGATGGATGCATGCATAGACAAACGGATGACGGAGAATGGCTAGATAATGGGCTGATGGTGCATGGATTGATCTATAGGTATATGCAAAGAAGAGTGGGAAGGGAAATGGATGGAGACTATGTGTTTGGCTGGATGCATGGGCAGAAAGGGAGGGAGGCTTAGAAGAAGGKGCCTTGTCAATGTTAAGAATATAAGATCAGGGGCTGGGGTCGTGGCTCAGCGGTAGAGCACTCACCTGGCACGTGTGAGGCCCTGGGTTCGATCCTCAGCACCCCATAAAAATAAATAAATAAATGAAATAAAGGTGTCTACCTACAAAATACTTTAAAAGAACAGAGAAACAGAGAAACAGACTTGGGGTGTAATCCCAGCTCAAGTTTTTCACCCCTTCTTTATCAATTCTGGGGACTGAACCTGGGGCGTTCTACCACTGGGCTACGWCCCCAGCCCTTTTGAAGCAGGAGGATCACTAGCCTGGGCAATTTCACCGGACTCAGCTGACCACTGACTTGCTTGTCATTTGGGCAGTAAAAGAAAGAAAATCTTGTCACTACCTTGTCAGGATGTGAGGTCCTGAAAAGCGTGTGTGGAAGATCCGACAGAGAGTAGTCATAATAAATAGCATCGTTTATGATTGAGGGGGAAGGGAAGCGGCTGCAGGTCTGAGTTTAAGGAGAGATCAACACCGTGTGGTGCTGCCACGCTGCTCACCCTCCCCCACGTCCTCCAGGGAGGCCTTGTTAGAAGAATGAGGAGATTTTGTTTATGTTTTTGTTTTGGTGCCAGGGATTGAACCCAGGGGCACTCAACCACTGGGCCACATCCCCAGCCCTTTTTACTTTTTATTTTGAGACAGGGTCTTGCTAAGTTTACTTAGGGCCTTGCTAAGTTTCTAAGGCTGGCCTCGAACTTTCAATCCTCCTGCCTCAGCCTCCCGAGTTGCTGGGATGACAGGCGTGCACCATTGTGCCCGGCAAGAATGGGAAATGTTAAATAGCTACGTCAATGCTCTTCTCATCCGCCATGGCTTCTTTGAGCCAGCAGAGGAAGGGAAGGGCTGGGAATCTTAGTTCACTGACAGGGAAATGAGGCTCAGGGGCCACATCTCTAGCGTCAGGTCACACGGCGGGGTCAGATCTCAGGCAGGCACGCCTTCCCTCCCCCGGCCACTCCATCTCCTTCCTTCCTCTTCTCCCACAGGCATGCTGGCCCCAATCCAACCCTGTGGACCACAGGGCCATTTCTGTCCCCTTTGGGCACAGCCCTGGGCACAGAGCAGACACCAGCTCTGTCTCTGAGGTGAAATACTCTGCGCTTGAGTCACAGCCCCCAAAGCAGCCTGAAACCCCAAGCTGGCCACATCCGGCAGTTTCTGTTCCCAGCTGGGCTGGGGGGCCGGGGTGGGGCTGAGGCTGTTGACCACAGTGGGGGTGGGGTGGGCACAGGAGGCACTCTTGCCCCCCCCCCACCTCCCTGCAGCCACCTACCTTGGCTTGGGGGAGCTCACAGGGCCAGGGGAGGGGGCCTGCCGCCATGTCTGAATGCCCACACGGCGCTGGCCCCGTTCCGCATCACCTCCTCCAGGCCCGAGAATGACCCAGGCAGGACGAGGTGGGCTCATGACTCCCCGCAACTCAGCGACGAGGCGCTGAGGCCCAGAGGCCACCCAAGGCCAAGGGCAGGGTCGSACGAGTCTGACCTCAAAACCCATCTCCTAGAAGCTCTGGATGCAGGCTCACCAAGGCCCTGGGGGGTGGAGTGGGGAGCCAGAGCAGAGGGGCCCATGGGTCTTGTCCTGGGAGTGGCCCAGCACCCTGGCCTCAGCTGACAGCGGCTGGCGCTGGGAGAGCCCGTCCGTCGGAGAGACGGGCATTTCTGCTGTCCACGGGGGTCATCAAGGCCCAGAGAAGCCCAGAGTGAGAACAGGCAGGGGACATGACAAAGGACGGACCAACCTGAGTCAAACGCCAACCTGGCCACTTACCTCTAGGTGGCCTTGGCCAGTGCCCTGAGCCCTGGGGAGCCCCAGTTTAAGTGAGGATAAGAACAGCTCTTCTGGCYGGGCACAGTGGCCCACACCTGCCATCCCAGCAGCTAGGGCGGCTGAGGCAGGAGGATCGAGAGTTCAAAGCCAGCCTCAGCCAYAGCGAGGCCCTAAGCAATTCAGTGAGACCCTGTCTMTAAATAAAACACAGAACAGGGCTGGGGACAGGGATGGTCGAGGGCCCCTGGGTTCAATCCCTGGTACCCCTTCCACCTAAAAGAAGAATAGCTCTTCTGTCCTACTACAAGGGGCGGCCAGCCAGGTAAAGCCCTCCCNGCCCCTGGGTTCAATCCCTGGTACCCCTTCCACCTAAAAGAAGAATAGCTCTTCTGTCCTACTACAAGGGGCGGCCAGCCAGGTAAAGCCCTCCCACAGTGCCTGACACCCACTGGATCCTCTGCTGGTCCTTATTATCATTTCCAGGGCCGCCTGATGCCCCTGCCAGGGCCTTGATTCTTGGCCTCCTCCTGCCCTCAGAATAGGCTCGATTCCTTCTGCAGTAGAAACAGACTGATGGAACCCAGACGTGACTCGCCCTCAGTGTGACCTTACACTAATCAGAGCACCTCTCTGAGCCTCAGTTTTCTCGTCTGTCAAATGGGAAGGAAAAGCTTGTCTCCTCCTGAGGTTTGCAGGGAGGGTTGGGAAATCAGAGGGGGCAGTAGCGTGGGCCAGGCCCAGAGCRGGTGCCTGGCAAATGTGCTTTTATCATGTCATCGATCTGTGACCACAGACGGCAGAGGGAGCATCCCCGCCCTGCCCAACACTCACGGTCCGGAGGCCACGATGAGGCTGCGAACTCTTTCAAAGCCACGGTCCCCCAGGTTCAGGCACTCCCCCGAGAACTCCACCCGACGGCCCTGGAAGTTCTCCTGCTCAAAGACCACCAGCTGCAAGAGGGAAGGGGGCAGCGTGAGGTCCAAACCAACCCACCTGGACTGAGGCAGGTGGTGCTGACATCCGAGCAGGGTGTGCACAAGGCCCAGGACAGCGCCAGGAGCCATCATTCATGAGATGACGCTGTCTTCCCACCCCCACTTAAGATCTGCACCATCATGAGGCATGCCTGGGCCTCCCTTCCAGAACTTTCTTGGTGTGTTCCTCCAGCCTGGAATGTTCTCTACCACACCCCCGCCCCCATCCTGGAGCACCTACCTGGTGCTGACTCAGGTTCTAGACCAGACAGCAGGTTCTGGGTTCCATGTCGCTTCCTGCAGGAAGCCTTCCTGGATTSCTCCTCCTCCACCCTGGAGTTGGGGCTCCAGTGTCTGCCCCTGTGCTCGCCCCTTAGCAGCACCAGTAACAACACTGCCCAGTCACTGCTGCTTAGGGTCTGGGTCTCTCTGTGTCTGTCTCCCTCTCTTCATCCTTGTCCCCTTTACCCAACCCTTCCAAATGCCAAGGGCTCCTCYGCCAAAGGTCTGGGCTGATCTGTCTCTTTTTCCTTTTGGTCCTGGGGGGTTGGACCCAGGAGGGCTTTACCACTGAGTCACATCCCCAATTCTTTTTTTTTTTTCTTTTTAAATTTTGTTTTGTTTTAATTTTGAGACAGAGTCTTGCTAAGGTGCAAAGGCTGGCCTCAAACCCASGATCCTCTTGCCTCAGCCTCCCAAGCTGCGGGGATGACAGAGGTGTGCCACTGTGCCCGACCTGATCCGTTTCTCTATCTGCAGCCCTGGATATAGGAAATGCTGGCCAGGCTCCCCTCTACAACCC